ATGCCGTTCAGTAGCGATTGAATTAACACTTACAGACTCGAAAAGGAACCATACTTAATACGTGATTATATAGGCTAATTACGTAGTACCCCTGTAGTTAGACCTCTTTAGTATTTTGGTCTTTAGACTTAAAAATTTTACATTGAAATCTTTATAGTTATGAAAGTAAAACATCTAGGTCCATTTACCCAAACATCGTCAGTTTTATCGACGGAAACACAAAAACAATAAACAAAAAAATAATTTCAATGTTTTAGTTGGTGATGACGAACGACGTTAGTGGTGGCGGATGTCGGTGCCGCTGGGGGTCACAGGTGGCTGGTGTGGACAAGAGCGACGTGTCATCGTCCGTCACCATCGATGTTGTCCGTCATCATCAACTGAAATATTGAAATTATTATTTTTTTATTATCTTCGTATTTCTATCGGTAAAACCGACGATATTTAGATAAATGGACCTAGATGTTTCACTTTTATAACAATACAAATTTTAATATAAATTTTTTAAACCTAAAAACCAGAATATTAAAGAGATTTAACTAGAAAAAAAGAGATATGTAATTAGTCCCGAGTATAATGATTGTATGTGATCATATTAAACATACCGTTTCTTTAGGGTGTTGTGTAATTTCTTCGGTGGTGGCAATCCAAACCATGTGTGGTGACCTACACAGCTTAGTTTTTAACTCTTAAAAGTTATTAGCATCGTACTTCAGTTGGACCTTACAAACTTTTACATTATGTAGGTGAAATATTTCGAGGAAAGATGAATACCAGATTGCAAACCAGTGGTTCTACTCTCGTTCGACATGGCCAAGTTTGTCCAGGTATGTTGAGAGCATTTCTCCTGTCATCATCTTTCTCGTTTTTGTTACATAGTCATGTTCAAGTCCTTACAGTTGTTACTCTGTACCAAATCCTTGATATTTTATTGTCATTATCTTATGATTTTTTTTTTCTACCGCATTAATTTGCACAGACTATATTATATATGCAATCTTATCGAAACACTTGTTTGGTAAATTTGGGGCAAGATGAATTAGTTAGTATTGCTTACTTTTCATATTGTGTTAGCCACGGGAAATCTTGAGATCACACATGTAGAATGTTTTCGTGGCTAACATTATACAAAGAAATGTTGCCCCACATGGGCAAATAATCTTCGCTGCTTTTTAGATGAACTAACAGTATGCATCGCAATCAAATAGGAGCGTAGTTCATTGATTCTCAAGCAAGATATGAACTAACATCACACTTGGCACTGCCGATGGTTGACAAGCACATAATTCACAAAGATGATGGTTTCATATCAATCATCAATCGTTGCAACAGCCGCTCCAAATAGTAGAAAATTTGATGAAAGATTGATAAGATCTTAAGGTTTTATTACCAAAGAAAAGGAAGAAAAAGAGAACGATCACTTCGAGGGGATCAGTCTCCTAGAGTTTGTCAAAAGATTGAATAATATTTTATTATTTATCGAAAAAAACGGTTACATCACTAAGTACTACTTAGAGTATATCAGGATTTGGATTCTTAATAATAAATAAATATTAAATAAATTTTTATCTGATTCTAATTGAATTAAATAGACTCAATAAATATTATTTAAAAACTCAAAAAATGAAATGGTCTTAATAATTCCTCCCTCTTCAAATTAGTCTTATCCTTAAGGCTAAGCAACATCAAACTCGGAGAGTTTATCTTTCAGCACTCCAGTCACAGGGTATCTACGGCGCATCACAACTTGTTGATCGAGTACGTACGATCTCCACTTTTTGATAGTGTAAGTAATAGGTTGGTCTTTTGGTGTCGTAGTCTTCTGAAATACTCTCTCTATCTGACAGTTGTGACCTTATTTTCACGTCTTCCCTTTAGGATCATATGTTTTTCATTAATAAAAAACTTCATGATTAGTTTAGAAAAATTTCATGAAACATCACCCAAGGTTAATAGCCATTCAATTTCGAGCACCACGTCGAAGTCTTCCAAGGGTAGCAAAAAGAAGTCCATAAGCAACTATTGGCCCTACAAAGTCAGTTTAATCTTTGAGCACTTGCTATCACAAGTTAAAATCCGTCCATCGATGACTTTTATTTCGAATTTGTTACGGTCTTTAATGTGGTAGGCCAATCGGTCGACAACCTTACTGTCCATAAAATTGTTAGTGCTACTAGTATCAATCAAAACTGTAACATGTTGTTCCAAAGTTCCTCCAACTTTCATAGTTTGCGGGTTAGAGTAGCCGGCTAATGCATGCATTGTATGTATGATAGGTCCAACATCGTCATCAGAGTCCATACCTTCATTATTAGAGTCTACATTGTTAGCTTCTGGTTCCTCTTCAATTAGTTCAATTATAAGAAGTTGCCCTTGTTTACATCGGTGCTCCCTACTCCACTTTTTATCACAGTGCCAGCACAAACCCTTCGCTGATCTTTCCTTGAGTTCTTTTCGAGTTAGTCTTCGAGTGTTATGGTTCCGATTGGGAATAGATGGTGTGGGTGGCTTGCTGATCATCTGTTTGTTATCACTTCTGTTTCGATGATTTTTTCTGCTGATTTTTTCCTCATGTAAATGTGCAAATGATATTGCAGCGATCAAAGTGCGTGGTTGATGATCTTTGACTTCACACCGAATATCTAGATTAAGTCCTTTGATAAATGTGCCCACCAGTTGTCGTTCAGACTAATCTTTGGCTTGATTTGATAATCTTTCAAACCTACTCTGATATTCCAACACTGTAGAAGTCTGATGAATTTTGGCGAGCTGTCCATCAACATTCTCGTATTCAGATGGGCCAAAACGAACAAGAAGCCCTCTCTTGAACTATTTCCACGAAAGAACTCCGTGGCAAGTTTCATACCAATCATACCACTGGATTGCATCTTCGTCTAGCTGGATTGATGCTATTTCTACCTTGGATTCTTCTGGGGCCTTATAAAAGCAAAAAAAAAAATTTCCTTGGAGATCCAACTGGTCGAATCTCTTTCTTCCCATCTTGGAAATTCCACCTTCATGTGTTGGTAGTTTGTGTCAATGTTTTTAGTTCATTTTCCCGGTGTCTCCGGATTGATTCAATGTAAGACTTCAACTGTCATCTTGTTAAAATTTGCTAAAGCTTTCCAATAGACTCTTTTTAAAATCATTAAGGGTTTTTATAGTCGATTCTCAATTCTAGTTACCAAGGCTTCTAATTAGGCTTTTACTAAGTTGTCAATAGCCATTGCGTAAAACTGCAGATCTGTAATCTTCAATTCTTGTTTTTGGTGTCGAGTCAAGGGCATCAATACTGCGGTGACCGGTGGCTGCGGCGACTGTGGCGGAACGAGGGAGGAATGGTTGAGCGACAGAAGATGCAAAGGATGGTGGATCTAGTGGGCTGCGATTGCGATTGCCCCGCTTCACCTCTTTTCTTCCTTTCATGCTGCGGTGGCAGGGGGTGTGCTGGCCAAAGAGCAGCGGCGACGGTGGTCGCTAGCCGGACGCAAAGGAAACGGTGGTGGTGCGACTAGAACAATGCTTTGTTTCTACCGCTGCAAGAAGGGAAGGTTGCTGCCGGGGTTGAGAGGCAGTAGTGGTGGTGCGGCTAGGAGCAAGGTCGCCGAGGCCGAAGAGCAACAAAGGGTCGCCGAGGCTAGGCACTGCAAGGGGGTGGTCCACTGGCCGGGAATAGCGACAGGGACCCTTTCTCGCTCGAGCGGGATAGGGTGCGCGGCTGGAGGGCTGCTGTAGCGCAACGAGGGGGGTGCTGGCTGGAGAGCAATGACGGCGGTGGTCGCTAGTTGGACGTAGAGGAAACGGTGGTGGTGCGACTAGGAACAATGCTTTGTTTCTACCGTTGCGAGAAGGGAAGGTTGCTACCAGGGTTGAGAGGCAGTAGTGGCGATGCGGCTGGGAGCAAGGTCGTCGAGGGCAAGGAGCAACAAAGGGTCGCCGAGGCTAGGCGCTGCAAGAGGGTGGTCCACTGGCCTGGAATAGCAGCGACGACCCTTTCTCGCTCGAGCGGGATAAGGTGCGCAGTTGGAGGGCAACTGTGGCGCAACGAGGGGGGTGCTAGTCGGGAAGCAACGGCGACGGTGATCACTGGCCGGAGAGAAGCGGCAATGGTGGTCATTGCCCAGAAGTATGGGAAGCAGGGGCGAAGTCTCGCTCAAGAAGGATGTAGTTGCGATGGCCCTTTCCTGTTTCGGAAAAGGTGCGCAATTGGAGGGCGACTGCGGCGCGACGAAGGGGGGGGGTGTTGGCCGAGAAGCAACAACGATGGTGGTCGCTAGCCAAAAGCTTTGTTTCTACCGTTGCGAGAAGGAAAGGTTGCTATCGGGGTTGAGAGGCAGTGGTGGCGGTGCAGTTGGGAGCAAGGTCGCTGAGGGCGAGGAGCAACAAAGGGTTGTCGAGGCTAGGTGTTGCAAGGGGATGGTCTGCTGGCTGAGAATAACGACGACGGCCCTTTCTCGCTCGAGCAGGATAGAGTAGCGAGGACATAGAGTTGTTGGCCGAGGAGCAGGGGCGACGATAGGGAGGTGAGTCACCCTGTTCGAGAAACAACGACGATGATGGAGAGGGAGAGGTTATTGATCGGGTAGCAAGGGATATAGAAACAAGTTGCCTTGCAACGACGATGGTGGAGAAAGAGAGCATGAGTGCGAGTTGTCAACTTTTTCTCTTTTTTTTTTTTAGACGATAATTAACAAGAACGTCGAGTATCGTTGCTCTGATACCAAATGATAAGACTCTAAGATTTTATCATGGAAGAAAGGAAAGAAAAGAGAATAATCATTTCGAGGGGATCGACCTCCTAGGATTTGTCAAAAGACTAAACAATATTTCATTGATTATCGAAAAGATTTTTCTTAATAATAAATAAATATTAAATAAATCTCTATCTGATTCTAATTAAACTAAATAAATTTAATAAATATTATTCAAAAACTAAAAGAATAAATCGATCCCCCTGGTTAAAGAGATAGTTGAAGTTAAAAAAGACTGCTATGCACAACTAGAGAAAAATTAGTTCCTTTTTGCATGTGTCACTTCATGTTGTAGTTAACAACCTATCTATTTACAATTCGATCCAAAAAAAGATTATATATATATATATATATATATATAGAGAGAGAGAGAGAGAGAGAGAGAGAGATTGCAGGTCCTAATGGCCTATCCCGACCATTATTTTGGACAAAAAAGACATCTGCACAGAGAACCCAGATCCCTCTCATCGCCGAACAGTTATGAGGTGCCAAAACTGCAGCTAACATGTTCCCGAGTTATCAAGTGAAGCCGATCTCGCATGATGGATTTTGTGCTGTAAGCTGGCAGGTTAAGGGAGAAGAAGCATGTGTGCGATGTTGGTAGACGCTCCTTGGAATCTGAACACCTATATATGTACAATCTGGAAGACAAGCCACGGAATCCATTTACAGGTAAGTACCTGATGGATGTCCAGAAAAAAAGTAGTCGTCTTCTTTTCTCCTCGGGCATGCCCTCAACAATCTGCTACAAGTTAAATCAAGTTTCAGTAGTTTTTCCTTTGCAATAATCTACATCTATAACTCCGTGATGTGTAACGCTAACAAATGAATGTTACCCACCATCCTAGATGTATGATATCTTTCAAGATTTCAACGGATCACTGCTGCAATATGGCTCAAAATCATTGTAGATTCAAGTCTAAGAAGTGACCAGGTGTGCAAGACTCTACAAATCTTGAGACATGTTTTGACTAAGTCATCACATAAGCCTTCCAATTTTTGGGGTTGACCAATCTAAACTATGATCAATCTCTTGGAAACTACAGAAACACCCCTAACGGTAATAGGATATATACACCTAAAAGCATAACCTCTTTTGCACTTAATCATGTGGAGTTAGTCAACCATCAAAAAGTTACTGTTTAAGCAATGTTAGTCAGTACATCTAATGATTAACAAAAGATATTTCACACTTTTTTTTTTTTGCAAGGAAACTCAAACTGGTAAAAATAAATAAATCACAATTAACTAAACTACGACATTTCACCCTTTTTAGCTTGCATACTACACTTCAAGAAAAGGTTTAGAAGGATCAAGATACCACAAATTTGGGCTCAAATATATATTTCTTTTCTGCCACCGACCTGTGTTGAGGGCAATACAACCAGACATTAGCAATGTGAGAGGTATCTTTTCGGCATTTCAGATAAGATTTTCTTAGTTTTTCGTCTTATCTCTTCTAGCATGACTAATCCAACTTGACCCAGCTTCATTTTATCAGCACAATCTTTCAAACTTGTCCTACCACCTTAAAAGTTTTGTTCTAGTTTCATCTTTCACCGAAACCAAGGCATGATACCGGTTTCATAACCTGCTGGACCGGTATGGTACTGGTACACTAGGCAATATAACCGACCTATATACCCTAGTGTCAATTAATACAAAAAAAAAAAAAACAAGATCAATGACATGTGATACCAGCACTCAGTCAAAACTCATAAATGTTGATTTGATAAGTACTGGCCAACAAATATTTAAATCCCTGACCAAAAGTATCCCTAATTTTATCAATTCTAATGACCCCATACCTCCATCTCAATTCCTGTCTCAGCAATGACCATTTACATTGTTTCTTAATTGGCCAACATCCAAATCATAAAGCAAAAAAGTTTTGAAAGGGTCACTAGAAAAGTATGTTTCCGCAGAGGTATGTATATAGGCTAGAGGAGAACATGCTAGTGGCACATACGGAAATAAATGAAAGCTTGTCCTTAGTGTTGAGGCAATAAGTTCTGATAATCTTTTTACATTATCTCTAAAAATACACTAAGCAAGCAGCTATTTGCTACATGATACTGTGAAAAAGTGCATGTAAATAAACTTCTACAAGTCATGCTTCACAAAATATCCAACAGCAAGAATGTTGATAAAGTTTCATGAAGCAAGGCTAAGGCGTAAATAAGTTCTAAGAAACTTCAAAACTATTGCAAACTGGAGGCACCAAATGGCTGCCAAAGCATGTGGCAAAAGAATTCAACCATGTTCGACTGATAACCACAAAACCCCAACTAGGGGCAAAATAATTCAATGGCATTAGCAGCCAGAAGTAGATAAGAGAGGAAATAATGGTCATATCACAACAAAAAGGAATGAACTATGTCTTGTGAAGAAGGAAAAAGAATTGAGATAATTTTCAAGGCAGATCTATTTAGCAAATTAAAAATGACTAAATTCACCAGGAAAGATTATCGATAAGGATGTGATGCAATATTCAAAATTAGGATAACTAGATGGACACTTGATAAACTTAGACAGCAAATCTAAAGAAACATTTGTTGAGAGTCAAAATAATAAGCATTTTACCTTCCAAAACCAACAGATTTGAGGATCTCTTGACTTGTAGCCATCATAGTCAGTATGTTCTTTCCATTCTCTCACACTGATGACATTATTACTTCCACCTAGCATTCGATCAAAATCTTCCAGGTCCAGACTGTTGAAGAAAAACTGCAGGTCCTCTGAATTAGAGAGAAAATCACTAAAACCCTGAGCGAAGCGAGCAATCTGTTCAGAAATTGATGTGACAAAGCAATGCTTGATCATGAGGTTGACATATTCTTCTCTATTCCTGCTATCTACAGTAATATTCTTCCCCCCAGGACAAAGCTCAACTGTTGTCTTTGACCCCAGCATTTCAATGTCTCTGGTAAATGTTAGTCCTAAAGCATCTGAATCAAGAAAGGCTTCATCCATCTCAAGTATCTGTTTGCAACCCCTGTATAAAACTGGATCTGCATCGCACACATCTTCGAAAGTAATAGATTTTCCAGCTAGTTGCAAGAAAAATACACGATCAAACACAACACCGACTTGGACTTTATGCATCAAAGCTAATGCAATCACTCGCCCCACAAAGTTGAAGTATTCTAGGTGCAAGGGATCCACGGCGGATGCTGTGTGGTATTCACAATAAATAATAAGAAAGCAAAAATTAAAAATGAAGAAAAAAATACAGTGACTGAAGAACAATTAACAAATATAAATGAGATGATAACTCTAGTATGTCACTCATAAAAGAAACAATATTATAAGTTTTCTACAATATATTAACAGAAATGAATATAATCCACATTAGTTTCTCTCATCAGCTTGTTCTTTCAATAGGACCACAGTTGTCTCCTCCACTACTACCACTCTGCCATTATTGTGGAATCACATTCCTACTTGTTGGACGAGGACACACCCTTAGGGAGACATAAGACACACAACATATTTGTTTATGTATGCTACAGCAAATTCACCCAGTGAGACAAGTTTTGTTAGATGTGGATTCACAACTTCTGATTGGACGTGAGCTTTCACCAGAAATTACTCACGAAGTAATAAACATGAAGTAATCACATTATTAGACGAGTTCTATTAGATGTGGGTTTGAGGACCTCTGATTAAAATGCCTTGTATTGAAGTGCTGAAATGAAATATGACATAAACATGAAATAAACAAAAATAAATTACTTGCGTATCTTTATATGGCTATTAAGAAGCATCCAGTGTATAACAATGAAATCAAACATCAAGAACAAAATGAATACTTGCTAAATTAAAGATCGGTAGAGTTTAAACCATGATATATTAAAAAATGTGAAAAGGTTTAGCTGTGTCTACCTTAGCATTTCAATGTATTTTATCACTTGTCATTCTTAAATTTTTTGCTTATACTTTCAAGAATGGAAATTTTAATAACAATACCTAGGGAACTTGAATTTTTTGCCCATATTTCTAGGAATGAAATACCTAGGAGATTTTGATGCTTGGAAGATTTCTGGGAATAAGGTATTTAATTTATACCTAGGAAATTGTAATTTTTGGAAGAAAATGAGGTATCTTTACCTAGGAGAAGTTGATTCTGAAAGAGGGTCACCCAACTATGCTCTCAATGGTTAGAGTTGGTGATTGTTTTCAATGCTTATATCTCTAATAAGGGTATTCAGTCCCACACTTGTAGGAATAGTATCCGAAGAGTATCTATCACTAATTAGATTCTTGAGAGAGGCTCGCTAGCAATCACTGGATTGCTAATTTTTTAATTTGACAATGGAACACAGATAGCAGAGACCTGTACGACAACTAAGACACCGGTAGATATGTGACAACTCGAATTAAAGATTTAAATTATACTCTCAAAGATATGATAGACATCAAAAACCTGAGTACACAGCATGAAGAAAATCATCTTAATCTTAATATCACATCATGATCTCCACTAAATTCAACATAGCAAACTTCACTTATTTAGACTCTCAAATATGTGATAGACATCAAAGACCTCACAACACTGAAAGAAAGAAGATCAAAGAGCAGAGAAGCGTGAAGAAAATTGCCTTAATCTTAATATCACATTTGTTTTTTGTTTCTATCTATTAAAACTCGAAAACGTTTCTGGTTGTATGACGTCGCGCAAAGGGGAAAATGGTCAAAACAACTTCGTTCTCATGTGTTACCAATTGATTTCTAGCTAACGACCTTCTAGTGCAAAACGTCAATTGTCTCAATACCTTAGAACTCATTGTAGCACCCCGCTGGTTGGGGCCTTGGTTATATGTCTGAGGGTTAGTACAACGTCTTCGGTGTGCCCGTTGTTTATTCAACAAAAGTACTATGTGAACATTGGGCCTGCAACTACCTTCGGAACCCCATTGTGTGCAACCATTCAACCCGTTTTCAAGAGCCTTTTGTGCCTAATAAAAGTTGGTTGCTTTGTGTTGCTTGAAATCTCGATTATCTTGCCTTTTTCATGTGTGACGATGACATATTACTCGCACATTTATCTTTCAAATTTTTTCTTCTTTGTGCAAGCTCTTTGTGGACTAAATGAGGTTAAGGTCTAGTCTGACTCTTGCGGATGAATATCACTTGGGTGTCGTACGCCTTAGGCAATCCCAGTTAAAAACATCACAATGTGATAAAAGAAAAGGACAACAAAAAATAATATTATACAAGAAATTTCAATATTGAACAAGAGATTCCTACTAAAAGATATAAAGACTAATTTCACATAGATTCAACCATTCTTTATCGCCAACAAGATCAAATCATGAAGGATTAGATGGCATACTTTTCTTTTTCAATTCCAGGATGAGTATAAGGACATTGACAACCTCTCTCGACATGTAAAGAAAAGGAAGATAATGAAGGACAAGGATATGATTCTGCAATATGGTTCCAGATCTGCACCTTGAGATAAAGTAGGCTTAAGGGATGAGGAGTTGTCATGCAACAACCAGATCTTGAACCTATTCTAAAATATTTGATTTTTGATACAAATGATGATAACTCAGACACTGCATATTCATCTATATATCACAAGAAATCACTTGGGAGGAAGAACTAAGAAAAGGCACATTCATCATTCGTAAAATGCAACAATCATGAGTTTGTTGATTACAAAACTAGAACTACAACAAAGGTAAATAAATAATATAGAGATGAACTCACCAGGATTTGGAAAAAATCGCCGGTGATCGTGTGGGCACGGCAGGAAAAGTGGACTATCAGGATTAAAAATAGCTTTGCATAACAAACAAAACCACTCTCTGAGAACACCAGGACCTGTGGCCTCCTCATCTTTAAACTCCATAAAAAGCCCTCCATGCAATTTAGTAGCATCAACCTGGCCAATATATTCGAAGGACTCAGGCAGCAACTGCGACCTGTCAATGAGCATCTCATGCAGCTCGTCTTCCTCCTTTGCTACAGGAAGCATCATCAGAACCAAATTCCTCCTCGCAGCGAAATCAGTCACATCTTTATACTTGAGAAACCAGCGAAGCTTATGATCCCTCTTAGCACGTCTGAGAAGAACATTCAACATCCTCCGTTGCTTGAGAAGAAGTGAATGAAGAAACTGGCCAGCACCCTCAAACAAGTCGGAGAAGACTTTAACCACTGCCAGAACCTCTAGCAGTTGCGACCAGGTTTTAAGTTGTACCTCGCATCGTGCCAGCCCCCTCAGGTCCATTATATCCTCTGCCCTCATAAGACACTGGCCGACCTTGTTCAGGAGCTTGAAGAATAGGTCATGCAACACACCAATGATATTTTCGTACATCGGGTACCCAGGGTCAAAGTAGTTCTTAGATATGAACCCATCTGTGCCCTTCAGATCCTGGGTCACATGGTGCACTGCAAACAAGAAATTGGAGAGATCAGTGATAACAACGTAGGAGATATACATGGTGTGTGATGAGAGCGCCACATCCGCTAACCCAACAAGCTCGGCGATGAAAACTTGCAAATCCGTAAGCAAGTGAACGGACGTCCAATGAACATAGTAGGGAGGCCCCGACTTGAGAAGCCGGGCCAATGTGCTGCGACACCCAATATAAAGCCGATCTTTCCTGCCCACTGATGCCGCGAGCATCTTGCAGAAGGTGAGCACTATAGGAGCGCAATGCAAGTGCATCTGTGCGGGAAGGAAGTCAGGATCTGGGGTGAGAAAGATCCGAATGGCAACAGCGGCGATTACACGGTTTTCAAGTACTGGCGAAAGATACAACTTCACGAGTTCGGAAGGGGCGCCCGCCAAAATAAAGACATGGAGACGAGCTGAGATCTTCTTTTTATCGGCATCGGAGTCTAAGAGGGTGTTGGCGAGGAACCGCTTCACGAGCAGGTCCACAGTGTTCCACTGCCGAACACTGGAATGAGTGCCGGGGGCCGCAGTGTTGAGGAACCAGATGGAGGAGATGAGGTCGCTGACGACCCTCCAAGACGTCGGCTGATCGGTGCTTCTGAGGCCGCAGGTCAGCTGGAGGGTGGTGTCCTTCTTCACGGCCGAATCCAAGAGGGTGGAATCACCCTGGAGCTGGCGGCCGCGATAGATTAACCGCTGCTGGTAGCAGGGGATCCCGGTGACCTTCTCGATCCGTTCGATGACGGAATCTACGGTGTCGGTGGGACGGGCGTGGATCACGAGGCTTTCCCCCGTTAGCAAGCGGACGAAGAATTGGAGATCCTCGTCCGCATCATCGACGGTGGCGGGTGAGAAAGACAAGGGGTAGAAGGAAAGGGGAGGCCAGGGCTTGACCATCTTCAGGAGGGGGAAGGAGTGGTCTTGATCGGCATAGTCGTCGTTCTTGCGCTCGTGGTGGTGTTGAGAGGACAGAAACCTCGGGAACGCCGCCGCTGTCGGAGAGGAACCCGAGGATTCCATCTCCGTATATCAAGGAAAAGGAAGGGGAAGGCGGGGAGGGTTTGGAGCGCGGTTCTTCCTCTGCACACGGCGGAGGGGTAAAAGGGCTTTCGGTCGAGCAACAGCAGCAATTGGTTTATGGGGTGGCCTATGAATATATAGACGGGGAAAGAGACCCCTCCGAGTACACGTGTCGGCTGAAATTAGGGTTGAAAGTTAGCAGATTAAACTTGGTCTTGCAGCTTAACTCGGCGGCTCGCCTCGTTGCTTCCAAAAGCCAATTAAAAGTTACTGGAATCGACAAAGTATTCCGATCGGTAAGTGTTTATGGATGTCTTGATTGAAATCAAATTCATTGTAAACTAATTAATAGAGAAGACGACAAAATTCAACTACAAGAGAGAAATTCTCCAAAACTAATGAGATTGATTGATTCATAATTATTTTTGGATTCCCGATTTATTCGGAAAATCAAATTGCAATCTTCCAAATATGATTTTTTTTTCCGAAATTAAGAATTGATGTTAAATGGTATACTATGAGATTTCTTCTAAAGTAAATGTAGAGGTTTGGGATGAAAAACTAAAAAAAAAATCATATGAGAGGGTATGGACTAACATAAGAGAATTTTTTATGTTTATATTTTTATTATTCTTGTATATTAAAAACTTAATTTCTTTCACTGGATATGGATAAAAAGACTATTTATTGCCCTCATTACCTCTAAGAACTTGCAGAAGAAGATTTTATGTGTGTCAATTACATAAAAGGTCATCGAGTTCCCACAATTATTTATTTCAAACTCATGACCTGATTTTTAATCTATATTATTGCATCTAAAAGTTAAACCGATAGAAGAGATATGATCCTTATTTATGTTTTCTATCCCTCCATATCATGGTCAGTGCGTTACCATTAAGTGATCACAGCAGGAAACGAGGTTTACCTGAGATGAGATGAGATGAGCTGAGCTCCAGTTGAGGATGCCCGGAGATTCCAACAAGATTAATCCTATAGAAGGGTGAAGAGATCCGCTAAGAGGAGAAGAAAAAAGTTCCTACACAAAAATTCCAAACTTGTAAAGCTATTTGTTTGATCAACCTATTATCACATGACATCTCTCAACAAGTTGATCGTAAACATATTATATAGCAAGCTTATGGAATTGGCTCAATCGGTTGCCTTGTCACACAACTCCAAGAGACTTTTTGATGCTAAACTAATGGCACATCCTTCATGAAAATATTTGGTCATGAACATGGACCACTAAAGATCAACATGGGAATGCTCATAAAGATAGAATCAGATTTAAGGGGGAAGAGCCAAAAAAGATTAATAGGTCAAGCGTACCTGCAAGTCTTTAGTTCCTTCAACTTTTCTCCCTCTGGATCTGTATCAGCAAGCCCTTGTTTGATTTCAGCATCCCTTGCCATGGCAGTGGCAGTAGCCCAATCAAAACATATCACCATACTGCATGATGTGGGATCCCTGCTTCGGGCTTCGAGGAATCCGAGACAACAAAAGCTCTATAGATTACACCATCGACCGCAATTAGCACACAAGCCCTGGTCATATGCTCCATATCTGAAAGCCTTTGGATTTCAGGGATTCTTTGGAACAGGGACTCTTGTTTCCAAGAAGTTCCGTTCCAGCATCAGGATGCACCTCGAAGTCTTTGGCATCATTGCAAGACCCATACAGCTGATGTAGCTTTTCTGAGTCTTCTACATCACAGCCTTCGCCAGAGGGTGACCTCCACTAAAAGATAAATAAATGATAAAGTGCATCTTTTGATGGTTCTTGTGTGCTAACCTCCGTAGCAGCAGCAGCCAGGTCTTGACGATATCTCTGAGAAGAGCTTCGTCTGAATGATTTGTGGACCTTCCAACTGATGCAGCTCCAGTTTTAACAAAGACAACAGCTTTCACCTGTGAATTAGACAGACATACTCCGTTGAGATACCATCTGCATGATCCAAAATAAATTAGAAGTGTAAGTTCATCTGATTACATATAGATATTCACTGCAACTAGGCACCTATGCTGAACAATCACTAGTTTTTTCTTACCTTTGTCCGCTTTCCATAGAGCATTATCGCCTTCTATAAGGATCCCTCTGAGAAGCAACTTCTCCAGTACCAACCACAACAGCTGCTGGTCTTGGTAGGTGCCAGTCCTAGAGAACATGGACAGACAAACACTGAAACTGAAATCTCAAATTCATCCATCCACTTTCAAATTCATCCATCAACTTTGATCCAACTCCTTGAAAAAATGTGTGCTTCAGCAGGGATGAGCCAACCAAGCCAAGTTGTGAAAGCAACCACCATAACCTTGAATATAATTGGCACACTGAAAAGAAGCACCATCGACGCAGCTCTATTTTCACATTTCACATGCCAATAAAGTAGAGCTTTGCAGTTGTATTCTGCAAACTGCATTAGCTGAAGCAATATAACAGAGCAAGACAGTCTCCGAAGGCAGAGAAGTAAATAGATCCACATATTTAAAATAGAAAATCAAAATAACAGAATAAAGAAGATCTAAGTTAGCAAGAAAAATTTACAGGACCCCCTATTTAAATAGTAAATCCAATTTTTCCGAGTTATTGGAAGATATACTGGTTATAAAATAATTTTGTGTGGTTAACAATCTCGTAAATATGTGTTATTCATATACATCATTTCTATTGCTATCAGATAGTTGAGCAACCTGAACCCAAGCTATTATTTGTTGGATCAGCATTTTAACATGAGTAAGGATCAAGGACTATCAGAACCTTGCATCCATCCTTGTACATCTGGTACATGTAAATGCAGTCTAGGTTAATTATGAACCCATGCCAGTGATAATATATGCAGAAGCTTGCTGTATATCTCCATTGCTTTTTTCAGAGTACTTAATTGTGAACTTATCAACTGCTATTTACTATGTACATCTTTACAATGATCAAGAAAGCCACAAAATGGCAGTAAAATGATAAAATAATATACTTTCTATGGGGACAAAAAACCTAGAGATCTTGTCTGCTAATTTCTGAACTGAATCCTTCCCAAGTTGAGCAGTCTCCACTAACTTAACTATCTTTTAAGTTAAATTAAAATTTTCTAATGCACTAGCACCCAATTTCTTGGTAGAAATTGGCCCTCCATTATTAATAAAAAACAAAAGAGAAAGAGGAAGAAAGAAGGCAAATGAAATCTGTTCCTATAGATATCCTGCCTTCAACACAAAATATTGAACAGTATTATTGATCTCCTTTCTTTCTCTATGCTTGAATCAGAAATAGATAATTAAAAGAGGCTGCCATCTTGTTTCTTAGGTCCCTAACCTATCTTTTATTCAATTGGCTGCCATATGTCATCCCATAGGCTGGTGAGATATATTATGGAAAGCACATGCCAAAAGGCAAAGTTGCTGACCGAAGAAAGTGGATTATAAGTTGGCACTAGTAATATAAAAAATAGTCACCATTGATCAGAATGAAAGCACAAGCAGGTGAAGTTTTTCTTTCTTTTTTCTATTTGTTTTTACAATGGATGAGGTCTGGTAGTAAACTCTGCATGGTTTGAATCTTTCTTCTGATCATCCTTAAGATATTGCATTATGGAACACAAATCCACCCATTGTTCCATGTCCTATTGCCTTTCATAATCCCAAAAGAGAGGCTTATGTTATATATGTCCTGCATGATATTAGACATATTACACACACCACATTAAACATGATATTAATACAATTCCACCTCGATTTTTCCTGAGGAAAAAGAACCAAAGGAAGCTTTCAACATGTTCATGCAGACGAGATCACAGAAATGAGCAGTATTATAGGTGGTGGGAAGTCAAAGTTGATCCTATAGTTAACCCTCAAATTTTTGGAACTTTAGAATCTTGTATCAGATCATCAGTGATGAGTTTCATTCCACTAAGCAACTTAAACACACACAAAAACACACACACACACACAGAGAGAGAGAGATATCAAATAGAGTGGAGAAGAAGAAGCACCGGCATGTGAGTATGAAAGATACAAGGAATAAGTTGCAGCACACATTTAGATATTATACGAAAACTTCAACACTTGATTGAAAAAGCTAGTCTTTCTTCTTAGCATGGCTTTTTTTTTTTGTTTGAGTCATGGTCGTGTGTCACGCTTGAATAAATTGCTCAGTGCTGATCAACCTAACATTGATCTGGCAAAGTGCATGAGCCACACAGCCACAAGAACTGTATGGGATATATATATATATATATATATATATATATATAT